GAGCCTGTGAAGAACAGGGACTGTATTTTTAGCTTTGCAACGTGGACAACTCCCTGACAATCTGTGTCTTGAGTTTATGTAATCATCAAAKCGGGACAGGTTCTCTCTTCTGTCATTTTAGTTCCCAAGGGGAAGATGTAAAACAGTCAAGAGGAATCCCATGTGCTGCTGCTCACCCATCACTGGGCAGAGCTGAACTGGGACAGGCTGATGAATGGGGACCTGGAGACCTCCCCAAACATCCCAGCCTGGTCCATGGGCACACAAATACAGCTTTAAACAAAAATTTAAAAATGCCAAGTGCAGCTGGAGACAGACACACAAATTGCTGGGTTTGGCTTAGCACAGTTAAGCTCATTTTTAAGCCAGAATAACAGAAATTAAGGCTGAGGTTCCCTGCAGTCACATGGCTGAGCTGCCCTTCCCTCATCCAAACCCTCAAGCTCTCAGTGCAGCCCATCATTTGAGCACCTGGAGGAGGTTTTTCCTCAACTCGTGAAAGCCATGTGAGCTGCAGTTGCCTAACTGCAAATTGTGAAAGCAAGTCAAACTGAAAGGGGTTTTCCAGAAATGGYTCAGAAGCAGAGCAGGCAATGTCTGTGCACTCCAGGACATTGACAGCAGCTTCAGCTCARTTCTGGGAACTGTGAGCTCTTCTGCTTCAACGTTTCCCTGAGAAGTCACATTCACTTCCTTTCTTTCAAAAATCATGGTTTTAAATGGGAAGGAGAGGGGAAYTCCAATTAGCAATGATTTTGCCCCTTGATAATCTCTAGAAATTAAAAGACGATGCATTTTTTATAAAGCATAAATGCAACTTATTGACCCAGTTTTTCTTCGTTTTCCTACAATTCCACAGTCAGTTCCACCAAAGAAAACCCGGAAAGCAATCAAGCTAAGGGTTAAATTTAGCTGTGAACGATTTCACTTCTTATTTATAGTAGAAAATACTTGTGGGAAAGTTTTAGCTGAGAGCAGTACAAGACTAACTTCTCATTTCTTCTCTACACTATTTGCTGATTTTTTTTTTCAGGTGCAACAGGAAACCAAGATCCTGAAAGGCACGAGCCTTATTACTGTAAACCCCACATGCTTTAATTATCTTGTGCTCTTTCACAAGTATGTTAATGTTATCTGTTTATACAACATGAATAGAGTGCTCAAGAAATTACTATGCTGCATCCCGGCCAACTTTTCATTTGGCAACTGCTGAAGCCCACCTAAATACAGTCAGACACAGCAGCATTCATTTCCATCCAGAGCTCTCTGTAGTAGAGTCACATGCTGTGAAGCAACGGCTCCATTTCAAAATGGAATTAAATTATGGCTCTTAAGTGTTGCTTTAGAGTCAAGAAAATAGTATGATCACTAAGGAGTGTAAAAAAAATAACTGGAAATGTTGTGAAACTGGTCTTGTTCATTCTGAATGCTGTGGTGCAAAAATAAAGGAAAAGCTGAGTGTGGCTCCTTGCTCCTGGCTCACTTTTCCTGGGCTCCAGCAGGACAAACAGAGGGCACAGAGCACAGAATATGGGGCACAGAGCACAGAATATGGGGCACAGAGTATGGGGCACAGAGTATGGGGCACACTCCATCAGTGCCCTGAGCTGCAGCTCCCTCTGCCCCTGCATCACCTACAGAGTAATAAATCACAGGATTCTTTTATCTATAATCATGAAAAAATTTCATTTCTACACCATCCAACACCTGRTACATCAGAATTCACCTCTTCTCTGCATTCTTTAACAGGAGCATCTCTGCTGCTGCTGTCACCAGCACTGTCCGGAATAGATAAAAATGGACACTGATCTATTTGCAGCACCAGCCCCAAAATGCTCAGCTCCTGCCTGACAGAAAAGCGAAGGGCTGTGCCCTGGAGCAGATGGAGAGGGGAGGAAAAGCTGCAGGATATTCATTTCAATATCCAAGGTGAACACAGTAGGGGCAGAGGATCCCTACAAAGGACAGGGGCTGGATGCAAACACAGGGGAAGCTGTGACCCCAAAATGTGGCTTTCACTCACCTGCAGCTCTGGCCAGCCAAGCCCTCTCCAAATTGCACAAGTCATCCTTGACCTTCCTGCAACCCAGAGCTGAATGGGGGCAGGAAGCAGCAGAACCTGCAGGGTATTTCCCATGCAGCGGAAGAGGTGCTGGGGACAAGGAGTGAGGCCCTTCAGGACAGAAACCTGATGCAAAAATGAGCTGCTCCTGCTAGAAACAGTTTCAGGAGCTCATCTAAATTTGGGTAGTGGGAGGAGAGAATCACAAACCAAGATAAGCAAATACAGCACTGAAAGAGAGCGAGTGCAAGAACGTCACTTATCAATAATCCACTCCAAGGTTCAGAAAAATTTCATTTAAAATCTACTGAGAACACTCAAGAACACTCACCTTGGCATAAAAGATCTCTCATCAGTGTTAGCAGCTCTACTGAAGGTTCTTCCAGGCTCCCAACAAGGAACTGGAAATAAAAAAGAGTTTTAAAAAGAGTTAATAATTTTTCAAGTGTCAGCATTTGCAAAGCTCTGCAGTGCTTGAGCCAAACCATCCTGTTCCTGTGGACTTCTCCTCCCCAGAGTACTCCAAGGAAGACTTCATTTACAGAAGACAAACTGAGATCAAACTATGTTAGGGGTTGCACCAAGTTCACAATTCAGTTTAGAAGATAAAAACTGTACAGAAAGTACTACCAAAAACAGGAGAAAGATGTTCAGAGCAGCCCAGTGATGGTGTTATAGGGAGAAAACCATCACTTATCTGCCACCAGTCAGCACTGCCACGGTAAAAGCCAATGCAACATCTACAAAGCACAGTTATTGTAGGGAATCCATGGGGTTTTTGGCAAGGGGTGGAATGAGATGAGCTCCACAGTCCCTTCCAACCCAAACCATTCTGGGATTCTGTGACAGTGCTCCAGACAGGACAATTCCCAGCAGCACCATCCCCTCATCCCAGAACCTGCTGGCTCCTTGTGCCAGAGTTTCAGAAGGCTGCAACACTTCCCAAATCYCAATCCTTTGGTCAGGAACGCTGAACAGCAGCAGCACTGATCCTTCACACAGAAATCACAGCAYTGGCTACACCCTGCTGCTGTGACAGCCAAAGGGTCCTCTGTCCTTTAGACGTTCAACACTTTATCCTTTCTTTTCAAGGGATAAAAGAATCAATTGTTCCTCTGGAWTCATAGGAAGTTTAAAGGAAACCTAGAAAGCTTTTTGTCTGAAAATATTTCTTTGTAGCAGCTGTGCATCCAGCACTTTGCAGCCACCCTGGAGTCACAGAAATCAAAATTGTTTAGAAACAGAAAATGAAGCTCTCATAATCCTTGTCAAATATAATAAAAATTAGTCTAGAGGGCAGGGTCAGATGGGAAATTGGGCAGGAATTGTTCCCTGGGAGGGTGGGGAGGCCCTGGAGGAGAGAAGCTGTGGCTGCCCCTGGATCCCTTTGAGTGCCCAAGCCAGGCTGGACATTGGGGCACCCTGGGACAGTGGGAGGTGGCACTGGATGGGTTTTAAGGTGCCACCAAACCCAAATCATCCTGGGAATCTGTGGCTTTTCCTGAAGGTGCTGCCAGTCCCAGTCCCAGGACAGAGATGGTGCCTCAGGCTCAGCAGCACCTGCACTCCAAAAGCACAGAGTTTAAAGGAGGACGAGAGAAAAGGAACAGAAAGAAGGGAGGCACTGAAAGGAGCAGCACAGAAACCACAGCAGCAGCTCCTAGAGACAAAAGTGCAGCTCCTACAACCATGGGCACTGTCAGAGAGGGGTTTTGTTCTGCTCACCCCAGAAAGATGCACTGGGAGGGAGATGGGGAAAGACATCGGGCCAGGACCACTCACCTGGCTTTCAGGAAGAAAAAAGAGASTAACTCCTTGCTTGCTCATCACTCACACCTCCCTTTCTCTGATTTTCACCAGAGGAAATGGGAATATTGAACATTTCCAAGGGGACAAGTGACGTCAGCAGTGTGCTCATTTGGGAGAGAAGCACAGATGTCTCTGGGAGCTCCAGAACCTCCACTCAAGGCTGCCTGGGCCATTCCTGTGGCCATGCCCATCCCATTTCCCAAATGAGAGGCAGATTCTTGGGATGCTGCAGCCACACGTCCTGGTTATTTTTATCCTGGCAGTTAAATACTGAATCGTGGCTACTATAAACAAACCTGTTTAATTTTCAACTTGTAAATGTTCTCTGTGCCAGTTTTTTTTTTTTTTTCAGTTACTATAAACTAGGCCAAGGAAAGGGGTGGATTTTCTTTTTTTAAAAGTGTCAACTAAACATTGCTCAATACTCTACCAAAATCCCTTCATTACTCAGAGCCGTGTTGGCAAAACAAACCCAAACCCAGCACTTCTGCAGGGAAAAGATTTACAGTGATCAAAACCACACTTCAACTGACAGATTCCCTCCAGAATAAAAACAAAATCCAAACAAACAGAGAGAATGATRGAGCAGTGAAGGCTGGAAACACCAGAGCAGGGATCTCCCCTTGGCTTGGACCAGGCTGGTTGCTGTTCCCAGCACTCTCCAACGACAGCTCCACTCACCACCTGCTCCCTAATTTGCTCTACACCGTGTTCTGAGATATTAAATTACTCAATGAAGTCGAAAGCACATGAAATAACTTCCCTAATGTTCATCAAAGCTGTCATCAGTTACGCAATGGTTACACACGAGCCGTGCTGGGAACGGGGATGGTGGATCCCAAATGAAAGGGGGTTTGTCTGGAAATCCCACAGTTCATCAGCAGATCCCTMCCCTAAACAGCAGCAAGACAAACACTGTCATGGAATTTATTTAATTAATAAAAATCACTGCCATGSACTCACTTGTTCACAAAATGAACCCCTTCCCAAGGCAGTCAATCTCCCTGRCTTCAGGATACACCAAAACCTCCTCCAGCTTCCCTGAGCCACCAACACCACAAAAATGACAGGGAACAGAAAAACAAAAGACTAAAAGATCAGACTAGGCAGAAAGCAGGACTTCAATGTGACTTCAAAAGTGGAGTTTGACAAAATTCCATTCACAGACTCCACGTTTATTTTCTTACTCATTATCACCGCAGTGTCTGACATCAAAGGAAGCGTGTTTTATATATTAACATTACATAAGAGGCAACATTTTATAATTTGTGCCAGGAATCTCAGCCTCAGTTTTGTAATTTTAACAGCAAAATCATTATCATCTCCACTGACTGCTTTCAGCATCAAATCAAATACCAATCAAGGCAACAAATGTGTAATTAGCTATGCACAAGCCTGTTGTAGGGTGAGTCATGACCCCACTGTGGTGCATTCCTGCTGCTGGAACACACACRCTGTCCCCATCCAACTCATCAGCAATTTCAGCCTAAATCCATTTTCCTTTTGTTTTTCAGGTAACAAAGAACMCCAAAAAGACACAGCAAGAAGCACACACAGAAAATAAAGCTGGTGACAAGCCAAATAAGCAAGCAGGTATTTGAGAACACGAGAGAATGACGACACTGGGCAGAGGTGTAATGTGAAAAGTTCAATAGGAAAAACCAAGAGAGCAGATTCAAATCTTGCATCTGTTCCCTAAAGCTCCAGGCCCAGCCGTGTTCTCCTCAAGAACAAAATCCCAGTCCCCACTTGCTGCATCATTCTGCACCTTCCGTRCTGTTGGGAGGCTCCAAAGCCATAAAAGCCTGGGCAAAGAGTAAAGTCCTCTAGCAACAGAGTCCTTCCCACTCCACTGTTGTGCTGAGCCGCAGCTTGGAGCAAATTAACTGCAGCCCACACAAACAAGGCAGAGAAACAAACTTCTGGGGGAAACAGCAATAATTCTGCCATTGGAAATGGGCATTTTGTGCACAAACACGCCGCCGATTGATCCTCCCCAGCCTGTAATCTTTTGTGCAATCAGCTTCACGCTGAACCTGCAATTTCAAATAACATAATGTTAACTTCTATGGAAGTGACTGCCTAATTATTCATTGGAAATTGCTTTGCTATAGAAGCTCTCCAGGCAAGGAACAAGGGCTCCGGGCAGCTAAAGCCTGCCATGCTGAAACGGCTAATTTATTTTTTGTCCTATTGGTCTGCACTTGCAGAAAGTTGCTAGGGCCATGTGCCAGCCAGACAAAGGCAGGGGAAAGGAAGCCAGCAGCACAACTCAAAGAGCAACACACACTGCATCCCCAAATTAGAACAAAGCGCTACGTCAGGGCTGGAGTTGGCAGCCTCCCCTCCGGACGGACTGCGGCACTCTGCGAATTAATACCCACGAGCCTGGAGCTGCAAACAGGACACAGGCACCTCAGCTGGGCACTCTGAGGGTAAAATACACCTTTCTCAGTTATAAATGTCTAAAACAGTTCAACAGGAAGGATTWTGAGGTCACAGGTCCTCCCAAGCAACACCACGGCCGCATTCACCATTTCTCCTTTTCCCATCTGGCCCTACTGGAATAGTTCAGCAAAGGGGTTTATACCATTCAGGAGAGTTCTCCACAGCTTTTTTTTTTTGAAGGAAAAAACAACAAAAAAAAATACTTCCTTTCCCCCTTCCTCTTCAGCCAAACATATAAAGATTAAAGGGCATCACCATTACACACAGCAGCCGTTTATGGGACTTCCTCCATCTGCTCTCTACCACATCCACAACTTGCCACTGATTTTTAAGTCCTATGAAGCTTTTTTTCTTCCCTCTCCATTTTCCCTAGAGGAAAAAATATCCTGACCTTTTATAAAACAGATTAAATTCCAGACAGASCCGAGGAGGCTCAATCATAGCTAAAAAACCAACTCCATTCTATGTGGTAGGAATAATTTGCTGCACTGATAGTAGCTTGGCAACGTTCGCCACTATTCTTCCTGGTTTATATAATTAAGAGTAAATAAGTGACATGAGGTAGATAGATTGTCACTGCAGTTTCAGCTTGCACTTTAATTATTTCATTTCTCCAGTAGTAGTGACCAGACATTGGTCATAAAGCAMAATTTGACCTTGCTTGGTGTCCAGCAGAAAAATTTAACGGAGAGACAAAGCTTCCAGCCCACGAAAGGTTCTTTGAAACATCTCAATAAAATTGGAGAGGTTTAAACTGCTCTTCCCATGTATTTCACACTGGCATAGGGTAGGTCAAGATTAGATATTGGGAAGAAAGTCTTTACTCAAAGGGTAGTGAGGCCCTGGCACAGAGAAGYTRCCCCATCCCTGGAAGTGTTCAAGGCCAGGTTGGAGTGACCTGGGAYAGCAGAAGGTRGCACTGGATTTTCTTTACARTCCTTCCAACCCAAACCATTCCATGATTTCAYGATTTAGACCCAGCAGTGATAAATCCTAGGACTAAACATGAGGCCTGTAAACCAGGGCACGTGCCAGCTCTATTCGTGGGGCTAACTCACAAATTCCAGACAATACTGAGATGCTTTAAGTCTCCCTGGCAGAGCTGCAATAATCAGTGTGTTGTGTGTGTGTGTTTAGCCTCGGG